TCCCTCCCTCCCTCCCTCCCTCCCTCCCTCTCTCCTTCTCTCTCTCTCTCTCTCTCTCTCTCTCTCTCTCTCTCTCTTTCTCTCTTTCTCTCTTTCTCTCTCTCTCCTTTACCTACTGAGCCATCACACTGGCTAAGTATTCCTAAACATTGTATTTGTTACTATTATAACTGGAATTAGATCTACTTTACATTTTTGTCACTTGTGTATAAGAAGGCTTTTAATGTCAGTGAATAATTGTTGGTGTATGTTATTGTACACAGCGATGCAGTTCATAAAGACGTTTTCATCTACAGATATCTCATGGACTTTGACCCCTGTCTTCCCCCTTCCCATTGCTCTTAACCTCAGACAACCTCAGTTCCACTTCCGCATCCCACACACACATGTGATTTGAATGTACCTCACAAAACTTGTCTTTCTGAGTCTGACTTACTTTCCTAACATGATGACCTGCACTTGTATCCGTTTCCCTGCAAGTGATAGTGTTTTATTGTCCATGGCTGAGTAATACCACATTTCCTTTATTGATTTTTCTGTTGATTCTATGTCTTGACCCTTGAATATTGCAGTAAACAGATGTGCGAGTGTTTCTGGCTTGTTGATTCAGAGCCCTTGGGTGTATACTCGGGAGTGATGTAGCTTAGCTGTGCAGTAGTTTAGATCCGTACTGATCTCCACAGTGGCTGGATTAATGCACATTCTCACCAGCAATGTATAAGGGCTCAGTCCCCCACCGTATCCTTCCACCATTTGCTGCTACTTGTTTTCTTAATGGTAGCCATTCTGACTGGTGCAAGTGGAGCAAAGCTTCTGATTCTTGGTGGTAGAGCTGGTGCAGCACCTATTTGCTAGAAAGTGGCTTGATAATAGGGTGGTTGCCACAGAAACGTTTCCACTAGGGATATAATTAACATGCAATTTTACAGTGTCTAGTAGTTAAAAATGAAAAGAAACTGGTGAAAACAATTGTAATGATACTTGAAGCTTATATGTTCAAAATATCTCATTTTAGCATAGAAACAATGTGAAAATACATGAGACATTTTATTCTTTGGTGGTTTGTGCCGTGTGTGTGTTTTCATGTGTATACATATACATGTGTGTGTACATGTGTCTCTGTCAGCCAGAATTCCAACTCAGGCATCATTTCTTATCTGCAATCTACCTCTTTTTTTTGTTCTAAGTTAAAATTTTTATGAAGTAGGGCCTATCACTGCCCTGGAAGTCACCAAGTAGGCCAGGCTGCTGGCCAGTGAGCCCCAGAGATTCTCCTGTCTCCCCCTCCCCGTTAAGATAATTTCTGAAGATCAAACATGGGTCCTTATGTCTCCAAGGCAAGAATGTTACCAAATAACTGCTGCTGTAGCTCTGCTGTGTAACGTTGTCTTTCCAGTTAATTGTGTACCTTACATCTGCAGTGTAGTGCGATTTAGACCATACAGTGCTTGCTCAGCTGTGACCGGCTCCTGGCTGCAGTGTTGCGCTCTGTGTTTGTGACTTTTCAGCCATACTGCCTACCAACAGCGAGCTCCTCCTCAACTTTGAAAACATGGTCCCTTCCTTGATGGTTTTTGGAGGGAGCTCAGTGCTCAGTGACAGGAAGGGTCCACGCAGGGTTTTCGGCTTCTCACCTGCAGACTGGCAGAACACGGGATTGGTTTTTCCTTCGATCATTCTCCTTTCCTCTTAAGGCATCAGCTCTGGAGCAGCATTGTCCACCAGGACTGTAGTAACAATTTCATAGTGCCTAGAGTTGTAGTTTAAAGATTGGGACGAGACCTTACCCTCATGTATTAAAAATACCTCATTTCAACGTGGAAACAGTGTGAAAGCATATGATAAGTCACTATGTATTCTTTGGTGGTTGTGGTGTGTGTGTGTACAATCATTAGAATCCTCAAATAATGAACTTATTTTTAACAAGTTAACAACACAGTTATGTTAAGCAGAAATGTATAGAATGCTTAGGTTATTGGTGGGATAGTACTAACTGTATGTTTTCTTTCCAAGCTGGTCTCTGGACTGTCTTCACACTAGGCGGGGCAGGCAGCAAAGCTGCCTCTCCTGAACTTACTTCCCCTCTGGCCAACCAGAGTCTCCTGCTGCTGCTGGTGCTGGTGAACCTGACGGATGCCCCAGACATACCAAACCCCTACCGACAAGCTGTCACATCATTTAAGAACACACAAGGTCCGTGGTGGTTTTCCCTTGAATGACTTTTTTACTAAGTGGAGGCTTGACGGCTCCATTCTGTTTATTGGTGTATAGTTTCTGAGATTAGTGTCAGTTAGAAAAACTTGGAGTGTGTTTTCTCAGGCAGGTCAGATAAGTCTTAGAGGAATTCTGTGGTCCTTTATGTCTATTAAATTTACATTTCTTTCAGAGACAATCCAGAGTATTCTGAATTTCAACGCTAGGGACAAGAAGTAGCCTGTAAAACCTATATGATCGGCTGTTTAAAAATTCCAAAGTCTGTATTTTAGTTAAAGTTTTCTAAACTAAATACTGTAACAGAAGTAAGCAATCTTTTTTTGTTAGTTTGTTTGTTTTTCTAGGTTGTCTGTCTTGCAGCCTCCTTGCCCTGCCTGTGACATGGGGAAGTGGGTTGGGTAATAGGAGGGAGCGGTTGTGAATCTGCCCTAGTAACTGTTTCTAAGCGCAGGAAGGAACAGGGTTCTGTAACTACTACCCCTAAAGCAGACTGTAAATGGGTAGTCCCATGCTGACATAGCTGGGTGTTAGGAGTCTGAAAGGAAGGGTCCTGTGATACATGCTTGGATGGCCAGGATATGCCCAGCACTCAGGCAGCATTAAGATGAGTACAAAGTGAAGTTCTTGGGCCGGATTGTGACGGTGTCTGAGTCTTGGTGCCACTCTGCTTTCTAGCCTGTGCTAACTGCTCACAGGCAGAGGATTGGCATGCCAAGGAATCATACCTTTCTCACTTTTGAAAACTGTACAGCGTTCTCATCCATTTGTGCTGCTGTAATAAAGTACTACTAAGGCTAGGTGATTTGTAGAGATCACAGGTTTATTTCTCGATGTGCTAGATACTGGGACATAGACAATCAGAGCCCCAGAGTTCAGCGTTGCTAAGCTGAGGCTCATCTCGGCTTCTAAGGCTTCTAAGGCCTTGAATGTGAATTCTTGCATGGGAGGCAGGACGGAAGGCTGAAGAGTGACTGCTGTACAGAGCCTACTCTGTCAAGGCCTAACCCTCCTCAAGGGAGGAGCGCTCATGCCTGGATCAAGGTTTTACTTGCACTTGGGGGACACAGGCATTCAAGCTGTAGTGTAAGTAGGGAGTCAGCTCAGTTCAGTGGGTGGAAATGGAAACCTGTACACGGTTGTCTACTCTGTTACTGTACTGTCTCTTAGCAACAGTATTACTTCATGGCTAAGAAAGCTCATTTGGGAGCTGAGCTGACCTGGGTTCATACCACACCCTGGTCATTTTAGGGTGAGATCTTTGTCAGTTTGTATAATCTCAGGAGCCCTCAGTGGCGGTGTATGCACTATGGATCTACCATCATACAGCACTTTACATAAATACCAAGCAAGAGTAGAGTGAGAACTACAGCAGGACTCACTGTATGGTGTTTGCCGATGCTGCTTTTGCCATGTGTAGGTAGGACTGACCCCACTCAAGAGTTCAGAATTGAACCGTGTCTCAGATTATCCTTTTTTGGGAGACCCTTAAGTAGCACAGTAATTCTAGGTACTGATACCAGAGTCAGGTGGACTATAGTCTCTGTCTCAGGTGCGTTTTTAGAGATAGAAGAGCTTTTACTGTTGTATAGAGTCACCAGTTATGCTGTTACCATGAGAAGGAACGTTAGCATAGAGGCTTAGTCAGTTTGCCCAGGGACCTTGGGAGATTTTATTAAATCTCTCTGAGCTTCTATTTCATCATTTCCAAAGTTGGGCAAAATAATGGTTCAGTTGTTGTACAGATTAAGTAAGGGATAACAGACACAAACCGTCTGTACAGTGGCTCCTTCCTGCTACTTGCTGGCTCAGCATGTGTAGATATTGTTGGTACACACAGAGAACACATCTATGTCAGTGAACTTAAGTATACCATAGGTTGGTGAGCACTCTATTCTCTCATTGTAAAGAACTGCCATGTCCAGACTCTTCCTGTGAGTCCTGTAAAAATTATGTAATAGTTGCGTATTCGCTGTATTATTTATCTTTTCTCCGTGACATACAAATAGCAAGTTATGGCAGGAAGGGTTTGTTCTAGCTCATGGTGGTTCCCAGTTCATTATGGCAGGAACTCTGGTGGCAGCAGCTTGAGAGCTGGTCGCCTTGGATCTGCAGTCTAGTACAGAGAGTGCTGGATGCCTGTGCTCACCTTGCTGTCTCCTCCCTAGTGTTACTGTGCGTTTATTTAGTCTGGGACCCCAGCCCATGAAACAGGAATGCCAGTGTGTAAGGTTGTACCTCAGCTAATGTAATCTAAATCCCTCACGGACATGGTCAGCTCTGTTCTCATGGTATTCTTAATCTCATCAAGACTGACCATTACCACTCCATCCTTGTCAGCTTGACACCCAAACACATGCATTTCCAGCTGCAGCCTTTCCCCATTGGCTCATGGCCATCTCATAGTGCACAGTGCATTGAGTCCCCATAGTCTCTAACAATTCCAACACTGTTTACAAGTCTACAGTTCAAATTCAAAGCTCACCGGAGACTCAAGACAGTCTCTCAGCTGTGAGCTCCTGTAAATTCAAAAGCAAGTTGCAGACTTGGAAAACAACACAAACCCTTGCAGCACCGTTCCTGGCACCTGTGCTCTTTTGTGACACAACTGGAAGGTTTGCATGGCTCCAGCCCTACCACCTGCAACAAGTGCTGCCTGTCCTCTGGGCCATCTGCACTCTGATCTTGGAGCTTTCCTTAGCAGACATCTACAGTCCTTGTCTGCCCAGAATGCAGTAATATTCTAGTTAATTCTGTTGCTGTAATAAAACACTGACCAAAACCAACTGGAGAGGCTCTTCCAGATCCCAGTTCATCACTAGAAAAGTCAGGACAGGGACTCGAGGCAGGAGCCATGAAGCCTGCACTGCATGCCAGCCTGTTCTCTGGCTCACCGTAACTCACACCTTCCTAGTTTTCTTATACTTCCCAGGACCACCTGCTTCAGTGCCACCAACAGTGGGCATCCCCCACCACCACCACACACACACACACACACACACACACACACCAGTAAATAGTAAAGAACAGTTCCCTACAGGCATGCATAGGCCAATCTGATCTAGGTACTTCCTCAGTCTCCAGGTACTTTACTCTCAGATTACTCTGAGCTGCATCAAGTTGATAATTAAAGCTAGCTAGGACATGAGGTCCCTTACTGCAACGGAGATTTTACTGCAGCTTCATGCCATGGCCTCTCAGTCACCCACATTCACACAAGTCACACACGTGCTCTGGAACTGAGCACAGGACCCTGTCAGTGTGGCATTTGTGTTTACAAATCCAGCACAGTGTCTTGCCCTCAGGACAGCCATCCTGTTGTCCAGGTGGAGAGCAGGCACTAAGGTCTTTAACAATTACACATAATTTGTCGTCTGCACTCTTGTCTGAAACCTTAAACAAACTCACACACTTTCCTCCTGAAACGTTACATTTTTTCCTTACCTCTCCTGCCAATTTTGCTCTCACTGTGGACCTAGATGAGAGCAGTGAGCAAAAACTTTGTATAACCTGGATGCTACTGTCCTGAAATTGTCTCTTCGAACAAATGAATCCCTTTTCTTTCCATTCAGCATCCTCAGGTGCATGCAATCACTGTGAAAGCAGGAGAGGCTAAGCTTACATCAGAACCTGTGCAAAACCAAGGTGTGCGCAGGTGTGTGTGTGCCTGCAGCATCACAGGGTGTAGAGGCAGGCCCAGGGCTTAGAACCAGCTTTGCTGAGGTAACTAGCTTCACCCTGTCTCAGAGAGTAAAGTGGGAACAGCGGAGGACGATACCCAAAGCTCTCTGACTTCCACATGCATGTGCACACTAGTGCACGCTCCTGTACATGTGTGCACACATGCACACACAACTGATTACTCAATTAACTTCACTCAGGTTCTCAAGATAGCTGAGCTGTGACTTATACTTCTTATCATTTAGAAAGCTTACTAAGTTTCTGTAACAGTTGTACAATTGTTTTTAAATTTTTAGTTTTTTAAGGTTGATTTTATTGAGTTTTAAATATATGTGTATAGATTTGTCTTACTGTGAGTATGGGCTTGTGTGTACGCAGGTACTCACGGAAGCCAGGATGTATCAGGAAGCCTGATTTACATGTGGCTGTAAGCCACCTCAGCTCAGCATAGGGAAGCAAACTCGGGTCCTCTGGCAGAGCAGTTTGTGTTTTATACACCGAGACTTAACTCCAACCCCTTAAATTTTCTTTTAAATTAAAGAGATAGAAGTTTTACTATAGTTGCCTTAGCTTATGTTTCATAATTTTGTTCTTTTATTTTAAAACTCGTTAAGTTATATGTTGGTATTTTAGCTATTATTCTTAAAGATGGGTTAATAGTTTTAATGAGTGCTCCAGCCGTATTTACTGTTTGAAGTGCCTTAACTGTTACGTGTAAATACACAACTCAGAAGGTGCTCACGTGCTCTCTTTATACATCTTCATGCTGATGTTCTGTATTGCAGACAGCAGTCCGTTCCCATCATCAGTTCCACATACCTTCCAGATTAACTTTAACAGTTTGTACACAGCGCTGTGTGAACAGCAGACGTCTGATCAGGCAACGCTCCTCCTGTACACTCTGCTCCATCAGAACAGCAACGTCAGGACCTATATGCTGGCCCGAACAGATATGGAAAATCTTGTAAGTATCAAGAGAAACGTGCTGTGTATGTCCCGTGACATTACAGTGATGTCTTTTCTTTCCCAAGAGGGTCAGGTGCTCCCCTGGTGGCCATTCAGGTGTTGCTAGAGAGACTGATGGGAGATGTCCCCAAACTGAGATAGAAGTGAGCGAGCAGCCTAGGTCCGAGTGACAGAGCCTTTGTCTTTGAGGTCCTGTTGCTCAGGGCTCCACCTGACCAGGTTCTCCAAGCAGCATCCTCTGCAACCCTGAGGGCATCTTTATTTCTTCTTGTTCCTTCCAGCTGATGAGGGCTGTCCACCAGTGCGTTGGTCATGATTGTCACACAGCCCTGCTGACAGTGATGAAAGTCAGGGTGACTGTCCCAGCTTAGCTTTCCGAGGGTCCATTCTCCCCACAGTCTCCAAACCAGTGCTACTGAATGCAGTACTGCACTGTTGAGTCATTTTAAGGCCCCTGGCCAGACACTACTTAAAGGTCCACTCAGTGAATAAAATCAGTTCCTTGGTTTGTCTTGGTGGACAAACCTCCTTTAGGCAACCATGGCTTTCCATTGATGGTAATATTTACCATCAGTGTTTCAGGAAAGGGAAAGGTAAGCTACTGTATGCTTGAGATACTGTGACCTCTCCCTGCACTCACTGATGTATGCATGGTCATTCCTAAAGGAACCAGCGGCTGGCTGACAAGCAGCAGAGTGTCCCCTCAGCTCTCCAGATCGAACAAAGCACCACTGGCCATTTGGGAACATCTTTCTTGGTTTTCAATACTATGTAAATGCTGAAGAATCATACAATATTAGCATTTTTTTATCACAATGGCATTCAGAACAAAAGGTGTGATGAGCTAAGGTCTGATGGGAAAGTCTTCATCCTGAGGAGAGCTGTGATCCTGGTGGGCTTGGGAATCACAGAGACAGTTGTGCGTGTGCTGACTTCTGGGGGGTTTTGGCAATGAGCAGGAAGCCTGGGATGTGACTTGTGGGCTTCTCTGGTGCAGTTGTTGACTTGTGAGGTGAGGGAGCAGCGGTCTCCAGTTTGAGAACACACACTGGTAAACATCTACAACAGTGGCTCTCAGCCTGTGGGTCACAACCCTTCTGGGGGTTGAGTGATTCTTTCACAGGGGTCACATATCAGATATCCTGCTTATCGGATATTTGTATTACAATTCGTAACAGTAGAGAAATTACAGTTATGGAGTAGCAATGAGATGATGATGTGGTTGGAGGGACTGTATTAAGGGGTCCCAGCATTAGGAAGGTAAAAGCCATCGGTCTACAAGGTTGTATTTGGGGGTTCTTAGGAACTTAAAGAAGGGTTTTGCCAGGCGGTGGTGGCGCACGCCTGTAATCCCAGCACTTGGGAGGCAGAGGCAGGCGGATTTCTGAGTTCGAGGCCAGCCTGGTCTACAGAGTGAGTTCCAGGACAGCCAGGGCTACACAGAGAAACCCTGTCTCCAAAAACCAAAAAAAAAAAAAAAAAGGGTTTTGATAACTTCCTAGCTCATGTCCTTATGTTTCCAGTTCTCTTTCTTTTGTAGTAAATATTGGTTGAGGCTGTTACCTGTATATATTGCTGCAAGTAGGAATTTATTCTGCCAATCTATAGACTTGGATATTTGGAAGTTGATATTTTATCTCCACATATTTCTCAGATACGTTGTGTATAGAGTTTTGTGAGAATGAGACTAGATCTGCTGCTCTTCAGTGTAGGCCCTTTCTAGTGGCATATTCTGTGACTTCATTCATATAAAAGTTGAAAATGGTGACAGCTGTAGAGACAATTGTGTCTCTGATCACTAAGTAAATGTTACAGTCTGTCCTAGTTAGGGTGACCATTGCTGTCATGGAACACAGTGACCAAAAGCAACTGAGGAGGAAATGGTTATTTTACTTACCCTTCCAGATGACAGTCCATCACTGAAGGAAGTCAGAGCAGGAACCTGGAGGCAGGAGCTGATGCAGGGGCCATGGAGGATGCTGTTTACTGGCTTGCTCCTCATAACTTGCTTAACTTGCTTTCTTATAGAATCCAGGACCACTGGCCCTGGGGTTGTCCCACCCAGGATGGACTGGTCCCTCTCCCATCAATCACTAATTATCAAAATGCCCTGTAGGCTTGCCTGCAGCTTCATCTTATGGAGCCATTTTCTCAATTGAGGCTCCCTCATCCCTGATGACTCCAGCTTGTGTCAAGTTGATGTAAAATTAGCCACCACAGGTCTGAAATGCCATCCAAAGGCTTACAGTTTAAACACTCAGCAGCTTGTCAGGGTATTTTCAAACTCTGTAGCCTTTAGGAGGTGAAGCTTGGCTGGTAGAAAGAAGTAGGTCCCAAGGCATATGCGCTCCTGAGGCCTGTACCCAGCCCTGCTGAAGATCTGTGGTCTCTGTTTTCTGGTTTGTGCCTTGTGCTGTGGATGCTATGGTCTCCACCATGCCATCTTTACTGTGACACGTGAGATTTCCCTGAAACCATGAGCCAAACAAACCATGCCTCCAATGAGTTGATTCTTTCAGGTGCTTTCTGATTTGGTCACAGTGATAGGAAAATAGCTGGATGAGAGGGAAGGAGAAATAGTGACCAGGGACTGCGAGCTAAAGAGCCTGAGGTGATTTAAACAATGAAAGTAGTCTAAAGTTAGTTGGTAATAGTTGCTCAGATTTGTAAATCTAAAAACCATTTAATGTATCTTTTTTTAAATGAAAGGATTGTGCTGTATGTAAGTTTACTATCCCAACACAAATACTTCAAAGGAAGAATTGATCTGTTGTTTGTCCTCTTAGACCCATCATCTTAAACTTTTTATTTCTTTATTTTTGGTAGCAGGGGTTGGGAAGGTTGTTCGAGACAGAATTTCATTGTGTGGCCTTGGCTGTCCTAGAACTCAGTTGGTAGACCAGGCTGGCCTCAGATTCAGAGATCCTTCTTCCTCTCTGCCTGCTGGGATTAAAGGTTTGTACCACCATACCTTGTATATAAGCTCTTTTAGCTTTTAAAAGATGTTTTAAAAAAAACATCTCTCTTTCTGAGTGTGCATGTTCATGTGTGTTAGTGTGTGTGTGTGTGTGTGTGTACACATGTGGGAATGGGTGCTCTTAAAGGCCACAAGAGGGTTTTGGATCTCCAGGTCCTCTTGGATCGCCGCAGGGTGGTGTATCTTGGGTATATTTTATCTTAAACCCTGTAACATACTGTCCAGGGAAGTCAGGGTAGGAACATGAGTCAGGAGCTAAGGTAGAAGTTTTGGAAGAACGTACTCACTAGCCTTCTTTCCATAATTTTGCTTAGCCTGTCTTTTTAACGTGCTTGGGAGCCCCAGCCAGAGGCTGGCATTTCCCATAGTGAGCTGAGCCCTCCTTTATTGATCATCAGTCAAGAGGAATGCACCACAGACTTGCCCACAGGCCTGTCAGGGGGTGGGAGGGTGGGGCAGGGGGGGCATTTTCTCAATCAAGGCTTCCTTTTCTAAAAGGTCTCTAGCATGTGTCATATTGGCATAAAACTAGCCAGCACCGTCTGTATGCTAGTTTCATGCAGTCTAACTATTTGGCCCGTATACTTTTAGTGATGTTTTTTCTAGTTAGTGAAGAATGAAAAAATCAACTATGTGAAAGGAACGATTAGAAATAAACTTGTGCATTTGTGAACAGGATCCTAAGATGAGGTGTTTGACGTAAGTCATTGACGACTAAGTCTCAGGGCACATGCTGAGAAAATGCACCATGGACTACAACAGTCTCTTAGCTACTTATATGAAGCACAGTTTTGGATTATTAGCATTAAAATACAAGTGATATGAAGCATGCACATTAAAATGCAATAAGATTATTAGCAGCTAGGCTTTTCTGAGCAGTTCAATTCTTTTCTTCCTTTTTTAATTAGAGGGAGTTGATGTGACCTCTTAAAATCCCCAAACTGAGCCTAAGTGGTCACTGGAAGCTAAGTTTTCTTTAGCAGGACCTTTACAGAGCTAGTGGTGACTTTCTTGCCTGGGACCTTAGCTATGTGTGCAGAGAGCACTTGCAGCCAAGGGGGTGTCTGTCCTTTTTACTTATGAAAACTGTATGGCCTTAATGCAAAGCATGTAGAATAACCGTGTAAGGTTCTCATAAGGTATTGAAATAGTATAATATTTTATTTCCTAGGTTTTACCAATTCTTGAGATTCTGTATCATGTTGAGGAAAGAAACTCACACCATGTCTATATGGCCCTTATAATCCTGTTGATCCTTACAGAAGACGATGGCTTCAATCGGTCCATTCATGAAGTGGTAAGTCCCCATGGTTGACGACAGATGGGACAGATGTAAAGCAGAGGGGCTTCTCTGCAAAGTGCACTTGCCTTGGGGTTTCGCCTGCTCTCCTGCTAGTGTCTGGGAGGACTTGGAATAGAAATGGTGTTTTCTTCCGGTTCATCAACCAGTATGGTGCTCTTTACTCTCATTTCCTTCTGAACAACTGTTAGCCACTGTTAAAACTTAGCAAATTGGTTCAGTAATAATAACCCGTTGTTCTTTAAACATGTATACTGTTCTCATTAGTATATGTTTATTGTACATCATGCTGAGTTACATAAGGATATTTGATATGAAAACACAATGTATTTTGAGCCTTTCCCTCTTGTTTCCTAGGACAGTTTTACCTGTGCTTTAATGTCACATGTAGGTCACAAGTTTATGTTTTTAAAATCTAGCAACCAGAAACAAGGGAAAACATGCTGTTTGTCTGAGACATACTTCACTCACTTAATATTTATCTTCTGTCACATCCATTTTCCTAAAATGATGTCATTTTATTCTTTTTATTGTTGTTATTTTGGGACAGGGACTCAAGTAACCCAAATTGGGGTTAAGCTATCTATGTTAGTAAGGCTGATCCTGAAATCCTGGTCTTCCTGCTCTGCCTCCCTAATCCTGGGCATTCACAAGTGTGTATTAGCACATCTCATTAACTTTGTTCCTAATGGCTGAAAAAAAAAACCCCTACATTTTCTTTATCCATGTTTCCAACAGACATTTAGGTCAGGTCATTAATTTAGCACCTGTGAACAGTACTGCTGTGAGCGTGATAGGCAAGTGTCTTTATGACATGTTGCCTTGGAGTCCTTTCAGTAAATGCAGTCACATGTCACACCTAGTTTTAGATTATTGAGGAATTACCATATTGATTTCCGTAGTAGCTGGACTTAGTTCACATTCCCCTGAGAAGTGTTCGGGAGGTCTTTTCTTTCCAGAAAAGTGTGCATGAACTTGGGGGGAGGGATGGGCTTCCATGACAGACACCTGAACCCACAGAGCCTCCTCCTCTGCCCCGTGTTCGTTCCCGTTGCCACGGCTTCAGCCTTTGTTACTGTATTGTAAACGCTGGCCATTTTGACTGGGACAAGGCATAAACTCTTTGTTTTGGTTTACGTTTCTCTGATGATCAGTGAGGCTGGACAGTTCTCTGTGTGTTTTAGCTTTTCGTAGAATTATCTATTCTTGTCATTGGTCCATTTACTAATTGCATTGTTTGATTCCTTGTCATTTTAGTAGTTTGAGTTCTTCCTATATTCTCAAAATCAGTCTTCTGTGAGATGTCTAGATAGCAAAGACTTTCTCTCCTCCTGTAGGCTGTCTCTTCATTAGACTGTTGACTTTCATGCACTGAAGTTTTCAGTTTCCTGAGATTATGGCCTTTGTTAGCTACGATTCTTTCCTGAGCAGCTGGAGTCCTGTTCAGGGAGTCCTTGCCTATTCCTGTATCTTGAAGTATTTTCCCTCTGTCTGCTTTAGAGTTTTACATCTGATCTATTTTTGTGGAGGGTGAAAAATTGGGATCTAGTTTTCTTTTTCTGCATATGGATGGATATCCAGTTCTCATAGCACCATTTGTTGAAGAAACCATCTTTTCTTCAATGTCTATTTTTGATATCTTTATGAGATACATAAATACCTATATATCATACTCTGTAAAAGTTAGCTTATTTGTGTTATTAGTGAGTTGGAAGAATTCTTTATATATTTTTGATCTTGTGCTTTTTTGCATTGCAATCTGTTAATATAGTAAAATATACCGATGAATCTTTTTATGAATATTAAAGCAGTCTTCTCATTCCTGGGATAACACTATGATTGGTCATGATGTATTAATTTGCAGTATATATTTATATACTGTTTGGTTAATCTCTGAGTGTTGTTACCTAACTCTTAAGGAATTTGTATGCTTTTTCTAAGATAACCTTTATTGCCTTTGTACTCACTGGCAGCTCTGAACAGCAGCAGGAGGACTTGGATGTCTCTTCTCAGACACTGGGCTCCTGGTGCTCCTGCCTCTTCTGGTTGTCTGTAGAGGTTTTTACACTCTGTTGAGAAGGCTCTGACTCTCAGCACCTACTCTGTCTTACTTTTGCTTTCTAATTGCTAATCTCTGTTTTTTTTTTTTTCTGTTCCTTTTATCTGTGTGCTATGTCTGTTTCATATACATCTCTTCTTTGTTTGCTAAGTAGATTTCTTCTTGATTTCTAGACCTGGTCTTCTCTCCTTCATCTGTTTAAGAAATGAGAACTAAACCCATTTGTGCCATTTGCTTAGGAGAACTGAAGCTCTCAGCTCACCTTTTTACTGCTTAACTTACTTTCAGAGCAAAATGAACTTGGTAGACACACTCTTTTCCTAAGGGAATCGTTTTTACTCAAACTTTTCTTTTTTATTACAGATATTAAAAAACATTACTTGGTATTCAGAAAGAGTCTTAACTGAGATTTCCCTGGGGAGCCTCCTAATTCTGGTTGTAATAAGAACCATCCAGTACAATATGACCAGGACTAGAGTAAGTATTCCATATCTATTTCTCTGTCTTTGTGTAGTTATGACCATGTTGTAAAGCTTTAATCTCACAAAATGTGATTATGAAATGTGCTAGAAAATTCAAATTTAATCTCATAGAATGTGCTATAAAAATTTGGATCAGCACTTAGCATATTATATGATTATATTGCAATGTCTAGCTTAATATTTAATGCTTGCTCAATGTGATATGCATTGCATGAAATGGAAAGCAAGCAGTGAGATCAGAGCTGCTGCCCATGCTTGCTGGACTGAGGACTCTGGTTTGCCCTTTTAAAGCATCAACAAAATACGTAGAGATGCGAAGAAGAGAAAATACAAATTTAGATCAGGAAGAAAGGATGAGGGGCCGAGGCTGTTGCCTGGGCTCTAACCACACTGCCCCAGAAACTAGGTAATCACGGTAAGGTCTTCCTCAGCTGTAGAATGGTTTGGGTTGGGCTGGATGCAGCAGGATCTTACTATGTAGCTCTGGCTGGCCTGTAACTGGCTCTATAGGCCAAACTGGCCTTGACTCAGATCCAACTGCCTCTACTTCCCCAGCGCTGGGGCTAAATAAAGGCTTTTTGCCATCATGCCTAGCATATATAGCAGACCTGAGACCAGTCTGAACTACATGAAAATCTGTCTTCAAAGAAAAACAAACCCTTTCTCCAAAGTACAAGAGAGCAAAAACCTTGATAAGTTGGAAATAAAGAAAGCAAGTAATTCTGCTAAACTCTTGTAGAATTTTAGACAGCCAATAGAAATGTGTTACCAAGAAAAGCAATGTGCAGAACTTGTAGCTAAGGGGTTGTTTACTTAATATTTTTAAGTATTTCTGTCTGAGGGGCTCGTGTACATATATATATATATATATATATATATATATATATATATATATATATATATACACACACACACACACACACACACACACATATATATATATCCCAATGTTTTTGTTTTGTTTATCTGAGATTGTAGGAGGCAGTTGTTATAGGATTGAGAAGTACTTGTGTTTTAGGAACATGGCAGCAGCAATGCCGTGTGTGGTGGGAGGGGCTAGAGTAGCACACTGTAGAAACATGACTATTCCTGCTGCAGATGGCTTCAGTACTCATGCTGTGGCAGTGATCATCTGGATCGCCAAATTACCTGGCCATTGCTTCCAAATGAATTTGGAAACAATTTGACTTCTTAGCACTTTATAGATTGGGAACTAGAGAATATAGATCCTGGGCACTCTTCTGGCATCAGGACAGTTGGGTGTATGTTGCTTTTAGTTACCCTTCCTTGAAGTGTGGAGAAGATGTGGTGTGTGTTTTAATCTTGTTCTCTCCCCTCAGGACAAGTACCTGCACACAAATTGCCTGGCAGCTTTAGCAAACATGTCTGCACAGTTTCGTTCCCTCCACCAGTATGCTGCCCAGAGGATCATCAGGTAAATACAAACTTGAAAGCAGACACTGAGCTTTGCCTTCTGGGTGGTCTTTTAAGATAGGGGTACTATGTCATTGTCCTTTTTAAACATGTGCACAAACGACAGATTTTCCTCAGTTTTCCACTACTTTCCATATTGTTGAGAATACCCTATTCTGTTCTGTTTCCTAATGTACTTGTTGATCAGAGCTGATGGCATTTATATTTGGTCCTTTTATGGACTAGTGTGTTAGATCTCATCTTAGGTTGTGTATTAGCTTTCCATAGGCATACGTACTTTGTTAGTAACTCAGATGAAAACTTAACCACTGTGCTAAATCTTTTATAAAGCACCACACTACACCTTCATAGTTTTCTGTGTTTGTCTTTAAGGATTTTCACTTTTATTTTTGGTAGAGTTTTCTGCAAGCGCTGTATACTTTGCAAGTGCTGTACCACTGAAGTACCCCGTCCAACCACGGAGTCCCTCCATGGGTGTTTAACTTTGTCATGCTCTCCTGTCTGCCACAGCAATGACTCCTGTTATTTACATGACTTTGTTATATTACTATTTTGTAGGCTAAAATCGTAGGTCTGCAGAGGTGCATCTTCCTTGGAGGCTCAATGGGTGAGCCTGCTTTCCAGCTGTTAGAAGCACCTTGGTCCTTGTTCGTGGTCTCTGCCACCATCATGAGTGGGTGGTTGAGTCCCTGTCTGACCGCAGCTCTCCAGACTTCTTTTTGTGATACTCTCATTCACTTAGATGGTGCGTCGGCCCCACCTCACAAATCCACAGTCCCCTTCCAGTCTTAATAACCTTACAGAACCATAACTACATGCTCCCTTTGGCCAAGTATCATAACATATTAACATTTTCCGAGGAGCTGTGATTTGGCCTGCCCTAACAGTTGTCATCAGGGTCTTTAAAGGTAGGAAAGTTAATTACCTAATCATAACTGTCACTTGCAGGCTTTTCATATATATATCATTCATATATATGTATATATGTATATTCATATATATATATATGATATTTTTATTTAATTAGACCACTCAGTGTTTCCTTAGCAATTTTCAAGTAAAGCATGTATCATGGAAGCTGTAATTATCTTCCTTAATTCTTACTCATAGGACACTGCAGAATTTTTTTCTTCCCTGACACTGGTGATTGGAACTAAGGCTTTGCTCAGCTTTTACATTGGTTCCACTACTGTCTCCAGCCCTTGGGGTTTTTTGACATAGGGTCTCACTGGGATCCCAAGCTGGCCTTCAATCCACCCACAATCTCTTGCCTCGGCTCCCTGAGTCCTGGGATTGCAGGCATGCAGCATCCTGCCCAGCAGCACTTAGTTTGGTGTTTCAGCCTGACACTGAATCCTATATGGCTCTTAAGTGCCAGTCTCACATTCCACCCATTCCACCCGAGTATCCGTTTGATGACCTGGGCTTATGCTTATTTTAACATTTCTTATTCATTCCTCAAGAATATCCTACAATGTATTTTGATCATCTTTATCTCTCTCCCCCAAACCTTTCCAGTTTGTCCTCTACCTCCCTACCCGGACAACTTCCAAGTTCTCCCCTCCCTTTGAGTCCAGTGTGTGTTGGCCAATGACTCCTGATGCCCTGGAGTATGGTCAATACATCAGGTATCACACTGTTACAGAAGAGTGGCTTTACCTTTCCCAGCAGCGATCACATGCCAGAGTTCCTCAGCTGGAGCATGGGACTTTGGGGACTTTGTGACCACCTTTTTTTCTTCTGTGCTAGGATTTTATCTGGCTTGAGCCTGCACAGGTCTTGTGCATGTTTTCATAATCATCTTGATTTTATACATGCATCTGCCTGGTTGTATCCAGAAAAATTTGTTGTTGTTTTTTTAAGTCATTCACCTCTGACTCCTAAAATCCTTCTGCCCTCTCTTCTGTATAAGATCCCTGAGCTGGTGTGTGTGTGTGTGTGTGTTTGTGTGTGTGTGTGGTGTAGACATCCACTTAGTGCTGAGCACTCCAAAGCCTTGTATATTCTCTGCACATTGATCAGTGTGGGTCTCTGGGCTCATTGCCGTCTACTGCAAGGAGAAGCTTCTCTGGTAAGAGCTGAGCAATGCATTGATCTACAGATGCAGCATAAGTCGTTGGGTGTCGCTCTAATGCTGTGTCCTTTAGGAGAATGGTCAGAGTCAGTTTTCCTCCAAGGCCATCTGTCGAGCCATAGTGGTGTTAGGTATGCTGGCCTGAGCTCAGTTTTGGTAACTACTCAGAATTAGCTTCTGTAGAGAATGTTTTACATTGACTCACACTAGGATTCACGTCTGCTCTTTGTACGTGCTACTGTGTTAGGGTGGGAAGACGGACGGAGGGACGAGATTGTCAAATTAGGCTACTTTGTACTAACATGAGATTTATTTCTTACCACAAATGTTACAGCCTCCTCATACCCTGCTATTCTGAAGAGCCCTTAGTTTCAACGAGTGAACTTGTGTCCCTGGGCTTATTCCAGCATTACGAGTTTAATGGTTTTTGCTGCTTTGTGGTCCTTTTCTGTCTGCGTACACAGAGTTTTACAGTGGCTTCAGATTGTTTTTCTTACAATGAATATTCTCTAAGACCTGTTGATATGCAAATTCCAAATGAATTAGTTCATAACTTAAGTTCTGGTAGTATTTTTTAGATAGAGTTAAACAAAATTTCTTAGATGTAACAGTTAGAAAAAAAAACAACAATCAAGGCAGTATGCCCAGTTTTTTGTAGCCCCCCAAATAGAAAACAAACCAAGATATGGAGCGTAGTTTAGATCTGTGATGTGGGCATGCTTACATACTGATGAGTGGTGCTTACTTCATGACACTGGATTCTCCTTTCGAGTTATGTGAATGAGGAGTTACGTTAAGTGATGTAAGGTACATCAGAACCAGTGATAAGGATCTTACCCTCAAATAACTTGTCACTCAGCGGCACACGTAAGGATCTGTCCTTGTATATGTGCGGTATACAGAGCTTACATAGATACGAAGGCTGAAGTAAAGTAGAATCCTCAGTGTGAGGAGAGGTGGTCGGTCATAGAATGGTGAGAGGACATCACATGACAAGAGGAGGCAGGCTGACAAGAGCAGTTGTGTGATACTGCAGCCCAGAAACACATCAGTGACAGCCACCACGGTGAGGCCAGGGTCACAATGAGAAGGAATCCACGTGAGAGTTGGCAGTCCCAGGAGAGAAAGAGGACAGGTGAGTGATAAGGTGAAAGATGGGAGAGAGAATGTGTTCAACAAACAATATAGACTTATATTAAAATGTCTGTATACAGCCCAGCACTGTGTGAGTATATACCAGTGAAAATAAAATACTGTAAATAAATTTACACGGTTGGTTCAGGTAGTATGCTGTGGACATACACAGGGGTTAAAAGCAAGAAGTAAAATGAACTGGGGACTTGGGGAGGGCCTTGAATGTTAGACACAGAGTTTCAGATAGCAGAAGGAAGAGAGACAGAAAAGGTCTGGGTTTTTTTTGTTTGTTTGTTTTTGCTTTGTTTTGTTTTGTTTTTATGACAAAACAGTGAATGAATGAATTTTAAATGGGATTTAGACAAAGACACTGTGGATTTATAGAGTGACATTCATTGAGTGATATATTCTGCTGATCACATTCAAACAGGCAAATTGTAGCTAGTTCCTAGGTGCTTGCTGCTGGTGCTTCCTGTCTGAGCTCAGAATTTGAACGGCTGCTCTGGACAGAGCGTCCTTGTGATCTAGAGGGAGCTCATTCTGCAGAGCTTTCTCAACTTCAGGTACTTTGCCTGCACATTGAAGTCTGGGTCTGGACACCAAGATTTATTCTCTTGATTTTGAAATGGAGACCAGCTCTTTGTAACTTAAGAGACTCGTTTCTTACCAAATGTTTGTATCTAGGGTTTGATTGCAAAGCATGAGAGGGAATATGTAGCCATAGCTTTGCAGAGCCTAGGAGTTGAAGAGCCATCCTGCTAACCCTTTCCAGTGAGAAACTTCATAAATATATTCTAAATTCTCTTTTAGGAAAAATCGATACAACTTTATATGTGTTGGCTGTAAAACTCAGAAGAGCCCGTATTTTATGTGACCTTCAACAAGATACAAGAGTTATATGTTGCTGAGAGGATTGTAATGAAACTTAAAATCTTAGTTGGACATAAACCTAAGGAACAATTTCTTGTGGTGCCTAAGTTGTTCATATTTAATAACAGTATACCCACCACAGACTCTTAGTACTCCAGAGAAATCATAAGCAGATGTGATCTGTGTTTTGATTAACTTTATAAATTCTTTAGACTGTCTGAGAAGAGCATATATTCAATGTGCTCATTATTTGAGGCAAGTGATTCGTTTGTAGGTTATGTGTAAGGCATTACATGGAAAAGCAAACAAAAAGAGACTGCACGGATTGTAGTTATTTATTTCCTGACTTGAAGATTTTCCTTTATGTTGGCATGGTATTGCACCCATTTGATCCTAGTAGTCAAGAGACAGATGTAGATAGATCTTTCTAAGTTCAAGGCCAGCCTGGTCTATAAAGTGAGTTCCAGGACAGACAGGGATATGTAGACAGACTCTGTCTTAGAAAACCAAAAACCAGCCAAAACTAAAACCAAACAAACAGAAGTTTATTTTATGTCTTGATCCCACCAGTTCCTGTTTCTGGCTTTTACATCCATGGATGACCAGGCATTTCCCTTCAGCATCTCATCCTGCTTTGCTCTTCTGTCTTCACCATTTCTCCAGACAGTCACCTACTACATGCTCATAGGTGGGAAACACCTACTGATTTGTTCATAATCAAGATCTCTCTTCATTGTACTGTCAGACAGGGCAGTAGCACAGACTCTAGAGCCAACTGCCAAGGGCTGGGATATCGGCTCCAAAACTTACCAGCTGGGGTATCTTGGAAAAGATATATAACTTCTCTCTGTGGCATGTCCCCAACTGTAAGATGCTGTGACAATGGTGACTGTTAGAACTGGAGTTCCAGGCAGGTGTCTGAC